GAAGAATTTTATGAATGTCTATAAATGATCGGGGCTGTTCTCCAAGAGCTCGTCCTCGGAGATGCAGGTGCCCGAGATCTGTGCTACTTGTCGGACTCTTAATACTCTATGTATGACCGCGGAGAATTGCGTGATACTATCAGATGCTTTGACGGCTTCCGGTAGCTTATTCCATACGTGCGCATATCTATAGATGAAGTTAAGACGTATGGAGCAACGTGTGTTTGGTAGTGAGAATGAGTGTGCCTTTTGATGCAGAGGATAACGTGTATCGCCAAACGGCTAAAGAAAACTAGCGACACATTAGTCTGATGTTTTTATTAGCTTATATAAGAAAACAAGCTTGGTTTTTAATTAGTTGCAGACAAGGTGGTTCCAGACCAAGCTGCTTGCAGCGGCCTTGATATTTGGGCGCATTTGATCCTAGAAGACGCTTAGTGAACGAACACTGAAATTTCTCAGTAACCATATTGTCACTTTCACGTGAGTTAGTAACACCTATTGAGCAGTACTCTACTATAGGCCGTGCACACAACTTATAGAGCATGAGCAAGCACATTGGCTTCAGTATATAGCCACTGATAGCCCTGGCTTTGCAGAGCTACAGCTCGCCTGTTCCGCAAAATTCAATAGACTAGTATAGTGTACTCCGAGGTGGCGCACAGTGAAGCTGTTATCTAGTGGTGTACCCTTAAGAGTTAATAGGTTGGGGTATAGAGCACTGGTAGGAAAGAACGTCGCTTTTCGTTGGTGAGAACTCTAGTTTCCCTAGATCTCACCGTGTGCTAGGAGCACCGAGATCGCTTTGAATGCTAGCGAGACTATTACGTAGACAGCTAGGACAAATTGAGAAATAACATTTTTGTCATCGGCAAAATAGTTAGGTGTGCAGTGTATGAAGACCTGGAAAACATCATTAATGTACAGCAAAGCCGTAGAGGACCCAGGACGCTGCTTTGGAATACTCCGCTGGTTGCGGATGCCTTTTCGGATGAAATGTCGCCAAGTTGCACTGACTGCATTCGGTTGGAAATGTGAGCGAAAAATCATGAAAGCAGGTGGCTGGAGACACCGAATACTGCTAGTTTAGGAATTAAACAATTGTGTGGGACCCGATCAAACGCTTTTTTCGTGTCCAGGGAGGTAATGACCAGTGCCTGACTTAGGTCGATGGAGTGTGTCACGTGGTTTAATAATTCAGACCGGTAGGTTTGACGAGTTAGTCGGCAGGAACCGGTGTTGGGACCGAGTGCTAAGGTTGCGTTGCAGCGAAAGGCGAAGCATCCGGTGCTTTTTATTCTTTCCATGGGTCGAGACGCAATGGGGGTGTGACTAATAGGACCATAATTTTCAATATTTTGGCGACAGCCTCGTTTGTGTCTTGGTATGACGGTTGTTTGCTTCCAATTGGACGGGTGGTGATCACTGTTCATTGAGAGGGTGAAGACATTGAGGAGAAGGACCAGAATGTCCGGGCCTCTTACTATTAAAATGGAAGAAGGTACACCGTCAGGACCTGGGTAGGGTGACAGTTCCAACGAGCAAAGTGCTCGCTTGAGATTGCATAAGTCAAAGCCATTAGTGTGTATTTGGTCTTCAGTAAACTTGGGGATAGTAGTTGACACTTCCAAGTCATTGCTAGTGAAGGAGTTACAGAAATGTGTGTTAATGAACTCGAAGCGATCAACCGCACCAGTGACTATACTTTTATCAGGAAGCACGTGGGTAGCAATTAGGATATCTTTGCTGCCACTCTGCTCCTTCATTAGTCGAATAAGAGCCTCTGCCTTGTTTTCAGTACAAAACGCTGCATGCTGTACTACTTTGTGAATTTCTCCAATCGGCTAGTACTTCGTTCATACGAAGGATTAGGTGAAAACTTTTGGTCTTGATGTTGCGTGAGCGCGTTTTCTCAAGTCTGCTGGTAAGTTTGCGTGTGGACGCGTCGTCAAGATTTTGACGCATTCTGATCTTCCTCTGTTTTGGAGTAAGGACATCTTAGCAGTTGGTGAAATTGTTGCAAAGCACGTTGATGGCAGTATTTATGTTGTTGGGGAGGAAGAATTCGTCCCAGGGTGATGCCCGGAGAAGGAAGGTGACTTCCTAGTTGATGCGCTGGAGGGGCCGAAATACCTCATATTTTGTGACTGCATGTTGACGGGATTTAGGGATCGCGAAGGACAGCTTCATCATCTTGTGGTCGCTGCCCGGTATGTTGTCTAACACGCTGGCGCATGTGTGCGAGATATAGTTAGTGGACATAAAGTCCAGTGTGTTCGATTGTCTAGTCGGTACATACACATGCTGTGTCCATTCATGAGTGGAACTAGTGTCAGCAAAGGCCCTGTACTTGGGTGGGGCTGACTATCTGAGCCACGAAACATGAGGCATATTAAAGTCTCCAGCAATGATCATATAGCGCGCAGGGCGGATGAGACTTCCCGAATGAGTCTGACCAATTTGTTAACATAGATTTCGTACCAGCTTTGGACAATATGGGCCCACTCTACTGACTTCAACTGTAATACTCCCGCTCTTTGTGCTGCTAATCCTGTTATCATGTACAATATTGCAATATGCTGATTGTGCCCAAAATGCGTGCCTCGCTTTGTCGAGGGTAAAATACGTAATTAATTAAGTATATATTTATGACCACTACAGTTACGCAAGGCTCTGTCCTTGGGCCGGAACTTATAACCGCGATATCAATGGCCCCTATGCAGCTCTTTAGGCCGACTTCTTGGACTATGCTGATGATCTAAAGCTAAGGTCTGAAGTAACAAATTTTGCGGACGCGGACAGGTTCCAAGCGGCGCTGGACCACCTACGCCATAGGTCCGTCAAGCGAAAACTACCTTTTAACAACGACAAATGTTGGGTACTTCTGATGGGTAACCCGGCTTCCTTTGGGGTGCACTACTTTGGCGGATATCGTCTCAGGCATGTCATGCACGGGGAGGATCTTGGTGTTATTGTGTCAGCTGTCCTTGGAACTTCACAATATACCTTGAGAAAGGTTGCAGCTACCAAACAAGCTGCTGAGTGTTCTACACAAGTCATTCACCCGTATCCATGCAAAAATTATCAGTACCCTGTTCACAACACATATTAGCCCGATATTGGAGCATTAGCTGCTAGGTATATATTCTCACTTAAACTTTAAATGCGAAATCCGCCAAGCAACTTCCAGAGCTTATAAAATCTCTTCGACTCCACAACAGGAATATATGCCCAATGGCTTATCGTAAGCGCCGCGGAAATCTTAGCTAGAAAAGATTGACCCTTAGAGGAAATCGTAGGAGTGGCGTAGACAAGCACTTACGGCTCAAGGTGGACGGCACGACACAAGGCTACAAACGGAGGTTGTACAATAGCGTGTTACTACACGTCCGTTAAGTGGCTGGCTTATCAATTTATGTGGTGAATGATTGAAGCAGCCTGCGGGAGACAATTGCTGATGAACCGACAGAGGCAAGTATCAAAGGACTGCTTGACTGCCATCTGATGAGCACGGCAGAGCTCTGCTGCTGCTTCTGAAACTGTACCGATTCCCTAAGAAAGTGCCCTGCGCAGGCAAACGGCAAACATGCACTGTATCGGAATCGATGAAGCTGACAAGGATTGCCCACCCTGCTCTCTACACACAAATGCAACCAAGGAACAAATGAACAATCATATACCAACGTTAACTTCAGTAGGGGTTGGAAAGCTTTGAAAATCCCTTTGCGACTCCAATGAGTTGCGAAAACAAAGGTGCTTGGAGTTGGTTTAGTTTATTTTCCACAGCTTGATGGACGTATGGGAATAATGGCTTGTGCAGACGCTATCGTTTTGTCGCATCATTATTAAACATTTTTATTCTGGCGCTAGTTTTACTCAACTGAAGGGAAAAACTGCTACGTAAGAATATACGTGCTTTTCTCTATAACCGTGTGTGACGCCGTTAAGTCAATCGCTACAACTCAGCCATAGCCACAAATTGTGTGGCTTCTCCCATTATATAAGAATACTTCAGGGAATAAACGATCTCACCAATTCGAAATTAGCTAGAAATTTTAGCTAGGCACTACAGGCTTGCATGCTTTATCACACATTATAACGTTCTAGGCATATATTAGCATACATCGTGCCATCACCACATCATGCCGCTTCATCTAGCATGGAACACCATCACGTTTGAAACACTGCATGCGTTACCAGATGGTTGAATGCGCTTACACCTTTTTTATGTATTGTCTAGGAGATTTCAATGTTCAACTGTTGATTGCCATACTTTGTCCGCAGTGTTAGTGCCAAGTGACAAATTATCGCACCAATTGTTTTACGTAGCTTAATATCAATAGTTTAATACTAGGCCAGAGAAGGTCCTTCTCAGCCTGTGAGTGCTTGTGCCGTGATATCAGGAAGGCAACAAATGAGTAAAATTGCGCAGGCGTAATGTTTTAACACTGCCGTTGCCAAAGTTCGGTTGTTGGTGTTTTAATTAGCAACGTAGTAATTGACCTTAACTGCAAGTCAAGTGCAATTTTGATATGCAACCTAGATCATTGTGCGTGAGCGGTTTCATGTCGAAAGACTGCGGAAACTAGGAGGTTGTTAAGTACCTAAGCTAGTATTTTAGTTAATAAAATATTTACGGCTTTAAAATAAACGAGTATATATATATTTTGACAGTGTATTTGACAGTGTATATTTTTGACAGTATTCAGGTGTAGTTATTTGTAGTTGTGGTTTCGCATGTCGCAAATCTATCAACATGTCGTAGTGAAATTACGTATGATATAAAGTACTACAAAACGTAGCATAAGACATAACAAGCTTTAGCAATCGTACTTCGCCGTTTAAATTCGCTTGTTAATGCTTTTGTTGTGCCGCATATCTGTGAAGTTAAATGAATTATCCATAAGCATCGATATCATGTTGCGTGTGGATTAAATACATCACATGTGAGTGAGCTTATAAAGTGTGATGCCATCTGATTTTGTTTGATTTTTCATCAGGTTTCACTTCAAGCGCTGATCTGGAAAACATGTGTTAATCACAGTCATGCCGGCCGTCCCTCGGAATTTTGCTCACCCGCGCAGTCTGTGGTCATGGTTGATGTCCATCTGCTTGATTCGCACCTGACATCCATGTCTTCTTTGGGGATCAATTCTTCTACTAAAACGGTCAATTTGCATCATAATTCTATTAGCAAGTTGGAGGGTCTTGAATCGGCTTTTGTCCTTGAGCACTTGGACGTATCTTCTAATTCTGTTCTTCGCATCGAGAATCTGGAAGCATTAAAGCGCCTCCGTACTTTGAATTTATCCTCAAATAGGATCTCTGAAATTAGTGGGCTGAGGAACCTCAGGTCCGTTTACATGCGATTACTTTTTTGCTTCGGTTCTTTATGTTTTCCTTTATATGTGTTTTCTAGGTATCCTTAACTCAAACCAACGTTGGCTAATCAGAGTACACCTTTGTTCGTTTAGCATTGTAGTTTAGGTGTTAGCTTACAGCAATCTTTTGATCTTTCGATTGATGTTTTGTCAATTCACTTGCTGTGACGGTTCAGGCCGTTGCCGGAGGTAGTGCATCGTTTCAGTAAGCAAGCTATAACCAACAGTCCTGGACGTTCAGCGGATTTTATTGTTTATTACGCGGAAATTAGTCGGTTTAAGTCTGTATGCTAACCTATTTGACAGAAATATGCGTCTTTGCGACCAGATAATAGTTACATTCGAATACATTAGAATATTGAGAGCAGGAGGAAGATCTGTTGTCAGCTCCATCGATTCCTACTCATCACAAGGTGGGTGCTAGCTGTCGTGAAACATTACTGCTTCGGAGATCATCACGTTTGAAGAGCAGCAGGACCCTGCCATGTGCGTTAGATGTGTTCTAGCAATAGCTTGAAACTTTCTTGTTAATGATTTGTTTCGGCAGACTTCTAACCACTTATCAATCTGGATGACGGTATGTTGTCTACACAAAGTGTAGGCGCCTTGTCCCTGAATGTCTGCTTAGGGCATTAAGGTTTTCAGGTATGTACTCCTTCTCTCCTTCTTATTATTCTTTATTTCATAGGTCATCAAGGTTGTATGGCAGCGAAGCGTCAGCTCAAATGACTGATGTACTGCCGTTGTTGTTGTATCGACTACTTTACGAGTCGTTGTAAGCCAGTGATGCCTACTGCAGGACACTAACAAAAAATCTGATCTTGAATCAGTATATTAAGAGCCGCTAGAAGACATGCCATAGCGACGATTAGAATATTTAACATGTACGACTCGCTTGTGGTTGTTTTGCTCAATTTTTACCTTTAGATGGTGCATCTTGGAGAAACTTTTGGGTAATTGAATACCGAGTACGATTTTAAAGCCATGAACTAACCTGCATGCATCGTCGAGGTACTGTCATAATTGATAGTATCTCCTAATTATAGTGCACATCGCGGAAAAACTGATCTCGAAATCGATTTCGCGGCTTACTGCGAACTGCTTGGTGTACCCGAATTGTTGCCTTAACGCAAGTTCATTTCGCCTTGGCTGAGCCTTAACATCATGTGTGGTTTGCACACCTTCTCGATCCAATGAACTTGAATGGGTGGTACATCGAAAGTTACTTCCCAGCCACTTGGCCTCGGCATTCTATTTGTCGAAGGTTGTCAAAAGATCGACAACCCATTACCATTGAATCACACAATCAACCCTGAATAGCCTGTCCAGAGTGGTCCCATTCTTTGGTATGCACTTCGCACCTTCAAAGTGCAAAGTGTTGCTGCAGGACCACCAGCCACTTGATGACCCCTTGACGCTTGCTAACGAGGAACTCGAGGTGGTTGATCATTTCGATTATCTTGGCAGCTGCCTCAGCAATGATGGGCGCATAGTAACTGACGTGAGCTCACGCACTGCAAAGGCCAGAGCTGCCTTCTTGAACCTGCGTCATCTTTGGCGACAGAAGAGAGTTTCCCTCCGTCTGAAAGCCGGGTATACAAGGCCACAGTGAGGGCCGTTCTGCTCTATGGTAGTGAAACTTGGCCCCTTCGGTCCGAAGATCTGAGGCGCCTTCAAGTTTTTGATCATCGTTGTTTGCGAAACATTGCTGGTGTCGGATGGCACCATCGTATCCCCAACGATGATGTGCGTAGGCGAGTACTAGGTAGTGATAATCATGCTAGCTCCCTAGAACAACAGATAGCACTGAATAAGTTGAGTTGGCTGGGGCACGTGCTACGTATGCCTGGTCACCGCTTACCTAGGAGGGCCTTGTTCAGTCTCCCTGGTGTAGGATGGCGCAAGGCTCGAGGTGGACAGAAGTTGACTTAGCAGCGGGAAATGAAGTCACTGACAACCAAACTGGGTGCCGTTGGTCCGTCTCGCCTTCCGGGTTGGAGTCCACGTGACTCACCTTGTGCTTGGCTCGAGACTTTACAGGACATGGCTCGCAACCGACACCAGTGGCGCGTCTGCTGCCGTCTTCTAATCGGATTGCCTGTTTAAAGTATGCTTGGTGCTGAGTTATCTGCAGGGTAATGGCTGATTATGACGCGTGGCAGTGAAAGCCGCAGGGAAGCTGTCTCGCAGATGCCGCTTATCTTTGCACAATAGCCAGCTGTTTGTGACGGTATGTTGTCTACACAAGGTGTAGGCGCCTTGACCCTGAATGTCTGCTTAGGGCATTAAGGTTTTCAGGTAGGTCCCCCTTTCTCTCCCTCTTATTATTTATTTCATATGTCCTCATGGTTGTATGGCAGCGAAGCATCAGTTCCAATGGCTGATGTACTGCTGTTGATGATGTTGATGATTGAATCACGTTGTAAGCTCAGCTCGATCATCGTGAGACAAGCACCACTTGTCTAATGCGGTAGCGGAGCAAAGCCTTAGCTTAGCTAGTTGGGTTTAATCAACGAAACTGATGAGGTTGTGATCGCAAGTATGTCCTATAATAAGGAGAAAAACCGTGGGCACTTTCTATTGCTTTCAATTCATAAAATGCTAGGACCTGTTTGCGGCAGAATTCTCTATATTTTTGTGAAGCGCAACACCTTTCCGGGTCACTGCCCTGCAGCCCTACTAGTCAAAGGCTCTGGATTGGATACCGACTAATCATACCTCAATTCCATTCAGGTTAACTGTTAAGCCGGGCTTTTGGGTCAACAGACTGACGGTGGAACTCCCGGATAATGCTCTTCCCTTCCGATGAGCAGCCGTAGTGTATCGTTCACCTACAAACACTTTCTCAATACTCTTTCATTTTTCGGTTTACTCTCATCGTATCATTTCTTACCAGGTTTACTAGCAGGAAAGTATCCCTGGCTCCTTTAGCGAGCTTATATTGCGGTTCCAAAAGATAGATATGTTTAGGAAAGCTTTGCTATTTGGTCTATTAAAAATGGCACGTCGGTTTGCTGGCTAGGGGAACTTAAAGACTCAACAAACGTTGTAGTCGCGCGCTGGAGTTTAGTTGAGACACAAATCATCATCATAATAATCGACAGCTTTATATCATCCACCTGAACTGATGCTTTATTGCCGTACAACCACGGTGACCTAATAAATGAAAAGCAGTTAGAGGGAAAGGAGGGGTACCTACGGTAAAACCTCAATGCCCTAAACAAACACTCAGGGTCAAGGCGCCTACACTTTGTCGACAACATAACATCACAAAAAGCTGGCTATCGTACAAAGATAAGGCGGCATCGGCGAGACAACTTGTAATGTTCTTCCTGTCCGGCGTTCCAAGCTCTTCCGTGTCAAAATAGTACGGCGGCCGCAATAGACCCTTAGAGCTGGAACACAAAATAAATACCTTGTAGACGGCTGGATGCTCAACCGCCTAGTAAGAGATCGATGTAAGGAGAGCAGCTAATGAAGCACGGTAGGGAATGAAAAGTGCCGGAGAGGAATAAGAGGGTAAGGATAACAGGAAGCAAAATCGATCGACCCCTTACCTGTGAACGTGTTACCGTGACGCCCACGGACCGGCTACAACCCCTTTGGCTTTCGCTACTCCGCATCATAATCAGCCATTATCTCGCAGCTAACACAGCACCAAACACGCTTTAAACCGGCAGTCCGCTTAGGAGATGCTAGCAGACCCCACTGGTATCGACTGCCGGCTATATCCTGTAATATCTCAAGCCAATCACAAGGCGGATTACGTAGACTTCAGCCTGCAAAGCGAGACGCACTGACGACAGTGATTTGCGTCCTCAGTGACTTCCTTTTTCGCTGCCAAGTTAATTTTTGCCCTCCTCGGGCCTTTCGCCAAAGTACATCTGACAACAAGCAAGACCCTTCTCGGTAAGCAGTGACCAGGCATAGAGTATGATGGTCCTCACTGTGACCATGTATAAACGACCTTCTATATGAAGGGAAATTCTTTTCTGACGCCACAAATGTCGCATGTACGAAAAGCTAGTTCTGACACTGACCTTCTTGTTCGAGCAGGTCTGGAAGGCTGTGACTATCCCAACTAACTGGAATGAATCATATTGGTGATGTACAAGGAAGGCAGTCGCACCGACTGTGCTAACCACAGGGGTATTAGCCTAACGCCAATTGCGACAAAATTACTGGCCTCAATTCTCGTTCGTCGTTTCACTGCGGAGCGAGAATCATGAATTAGGGAAGAGCAGATACTGCTCGATTCACACTGATCGTTTAAGCGTACAGTGCACTAGTAATTTTTGTTATAATTTTACCCAACAGACTCAGGCAACTCGGAGAAATCACCAGACTGCTACTGTAGGACTAGTTAATACTAGTCCGAGACGATGCGCACCTAATGCTACCAATGCACCAACATTGCTCTTTAGCTTAAGGTGCTTCTCATGCTTGATCAACAGAGCTTGACACGTCACTTTTCATTTCATCGGTATCAATGTATGCTATCTGGTGTACGCATACATACTAGCAAGACCGCAATGAATCTCCAATTAATTAGTTCGGCATCGGTTGATACTCACCATGTTCTCCGCGTTTCTAGCCTCAACAAATCGATGACTCGAGGTATGTCTGGTAATGCTCTTATCTAAAATTGATCCCAATGAATAACCATGCGTTTGCGATTCGAAGTTGAATTTTCATGCCTATTAATGAGCATCGTCTAAAGGCATGTTGTCCTTTTATTGTTTCTATCTGCATTTTAAACGACCGCTTATCGTAAGCTATCAGAAAACGAATTTTGCCAGCATCTCTTATCTATCGGTCCGTTGCTGCAAAACTGGACCTTAACATGATGTGATGGTTTGCGTGCCTCAACAATCCATTGCGCTATCCCGGTGGTGCTTTTGTACTTTCAGAGCCACACACCAGATTGGTCAGTCGTTAGAGCCAGACCAACCTAGTCTCAGACTGGTTTTTT